ACCTGCAGCCAAAGTGGCTGATGCTTATGCCTTGCTGATGGAGTCCTTGGGTAGTAGAGATCGTGGTTCACATTATGTTAGGTCCTCTTCTGGGGAAAGTTTTGGAGGCGTGGGTGGTAAGCCGACCGGTACATCAAGCGCTAACTATGCCATGTATTGTACTTATTGCAAGAAACCAGGTCACACTATTCAAAAATGTAGACATCCTAATTGTAAAGGCTCTCAAAGTCCAAATCCATTTGTGCCCTTCAAGTCAAATTATGGACCTAAAAAACCAGTTGCCACGGCCAACATTGCTAACTCTCCCCACCAACTTTTCCAGCCATACATGTTTACTGGTAAAGTCTCCCTGACTGATAGCGAAAACAAGGTATTCCCAATACAAATTTTACGTGACACAGGTGCTGCTCAGACCATCATGTGTAAAGATGTCATCCCTAACATAACCACTGCTTATACTGGTGATAAAGTAATCCTTTCGGATCTTTCATCTAATCCCTCATATCCTTTGGCTAATATTAATCTTCAATGTCCTCTTGTCACAGGAAAAGTTCAAGTAGCCATCAGATCTGATAAATTACCAGTGTCAGGAGTTCAAATGTTGTTGGGTAACGATCTAGCGGGAAGCCTAGTTGTACCTAACCTAACAGTTGTTGATCCCCCCTTAGATGAAAGCCCCACTAAGGCCCTGGATATAACAACCCCGCACCTGTTTCCATCCTGTGCTGTCACCAGATCTCAGACACAGTCTCTTGTTGTCCCTCCTAGTACAGTGCTTCCTTCAGAAGAACTGTACACTAAAGTAATTTCAAAAGAAAATTTAATTATAGCCCAAGAACAAGACTCTACCTTAAATAAGATTAGACATGCCGCAATTGAAGGGAAAAATTTATCTAAATTACCTTGCTTTTACTATCAGGAAGAAGTACTAATGAGAGCTTATAGACCCCCCGAGCTACAACAAATGGACACCTGGTCAGAAACTCATCAAGTTGTCATCCCTTTGTCGGTAAGACCGGCTATTATTGAACTAGCTCATGATGGAGTGTCAGGTCATCTTGGCATCCAAAAAACTTATAAGAAAGTTCTTCACCATTTTTTCTGGCCAGGTATTAAAAAGGATGTGTCAAAATTTGTTAAAACTTGTCATATATGTCAGCTTGTAGGTAAGCCAAATGAATGTATT